CAGGTGGGAAATTTGTCGTCGCTGACCGAAAAATCGCGGGCAGGAACAAAGCTCATTGCATTTGCATTCAAAACAAAGCAGAAGGTTAGCAAGAAGCTGTTTTAGCTGACGATTTTTTGCTTCCCATTCAAACGATTCACAAAATTAAAGGTTCCTCTTTTAAAAATCGATCATTAATGCCTTTTTTGGGATGATTTTTTTTGTAATCGAGTGATTCGAAGAAGTGAATATGGCGACGTGAACATGGGAGCAAATACCGTATACGTCGAGCTATGGCTTGTTTAAAACCGTAATAAACGAAGTAAAACATGTTGTGCAAATGAAATGTAAGTTCAAAGTAATTTTATATGCCCCATATTTTCTATCCTATGTTTCTTAAAGGGTATTGGCAACAAAAATTGCTTCATCTATCTTATTGCTTCATCCGAAAGAGCATGAAAAAATAAGCCGATTGGCCGTTTAATGCTCTATTCTATCTCATCTAGTTCCGAAGTTATACGCAAAAATGTGAAAATATAAATTGCTGATTCAGCATAACGTGTGACGTCATTAGCTGGGTAAGTATGTTTATTGAATACTACACTGAAGCATAGCTCAGTTATTATGGGCCCAAATCAAATGAAATTTTGCATACTGATTGTACATGATGAGACGCATGGAAAAACACTTCTAATTTTGTTGCCAAGGTAACAATGTCGTTTCCAGGCCCCTTGCGCCAATTTTATGAAACAGCTTTATTCAAGGTATTGATAAGAATAAAATAATATCAGAAGTATGTGTATGATACCTATGCATGCCAAAAGTTTACTTGCATGATAATAATTCGAAAATGACATACACATAGATAAATGCAACTAGTTATTCAAAATCAGTGTAAGAGGCCTATGAACGACTGTGTTGCCTTGACAACGAAATTAGAAGTACTTTCCCATGCATCTCATCATGTACTATCTGTATGCAAAATTTCATTTGATTTGAGCAAATAATAACTCAGCTATGCTTTAGTTTACTATTCAATGAACATACTTACCCAGTTTATGACGTCACAGAATGTGCTGAATCAGCAATTTATATTTTGCACATTTTTGCGTATAACTTCGGAACCAGATGAGATAGAATAGAGCAGTAAACGGCCAATCGGCTTATTTTTTCATGCTCTTTCAGATGAAGAAATAAAATCAATAAAAAATTTTGTTGCCAATACCCTTTAAATGTAACTTCAGCTGTCAAATTTCAAAATACAAGCTAGCGAAATTTGACAAATTTTGAAAATACGTAAAAATAGCTCGACTTTGAACTGTATTTTTTAAAAAATAGCCAAATTTTTGCCAAGAATCAAAGGCGAAAATTTGAACTTCCTTTATGAGAACCGCTTTGAGGTCTAGTTTGAAAATTTAGCTATTAATTTCGATTTCATGAGCATATTTTGGTTACACGTTAAATATTTTTGTACTTGATGAGATTCAAAATGTTTTGTATATTCAAGCCCGGCTTCAGTGTAATTTTAGTGATGACTGGAACTGAAATAAAGATATTTTTAAAACTGACCGTGGCCTCACGATAAAACTTTCTAAAAATGTTCTCTGTTTCATGTATTTTTATTTGATATCTTAGGTATAAGCGTAAAAATAGGGGCTCATACACTTTACGAGGTTGTAAAATGCATGACTTGTCTCTATTTTCATGTAAACATTGGAATTTTTCCGACAGCAAAGTAGCAACTGTTTCAGATCGAATGCACACGGACAGCACACCAGGGATAATGGCAGGATACTGAAATAGAACGTCACTAAAAATTGTGTATGATTAATTTAGATCATGTCCATTGTCAACATAAAACAATCATTTATTTTGTACCAAACATTTGGCAATATTTACAATATTTGCGCCTTCTTGAAAACACGCGTTGCGTGTATTCCACGCAATTACCTGATCATTTTGCTCTCGCATGCTCAGACAAATTTCCCACCTGTTGTGCAGGCGACTATTATAACTGTACAGATTCTAGCATCAAAGATTAACAAAATAACTAGAAAATTAATACATGCATGCAGCAACCCGTCGCCTTTCTTAACAGATGAAGTATAAAAACTCCACATAAAGTATTAAGACCATTATAAACAAACATATGACACAACTGATGCGCTAGTTTATTTTAAAAACGATAACATTCGCTGCAATTTCATGTATACCATCTTGCATTAAAACACATTATTTATTGTGAAATATCGAGTTAAGCATGGCTTAATAATTTCGCAGATATGAATAAAATCGACAACACAAAGCAAATACGGCCTGGAATTGTACTACTGAAGTGTTTACACCTACCTAAACAGGCGCAACAACAATTAAATTATTAAAAATATCAACATCAAAACGTCAAAATAATTATTTATAACAATTATTTTTAACCCTTTAAGTGGCAAATATTCAATTTTTTTGAAAAAAATTATTTTTTTTCAAAAGTGACCTGAAAATGGACATATAAATCCAATTAAACCGGAAAAATTTTTTTTCTTGATATTTGGGAGGGTCAAATAATTTGTTGCAGATATGCAACATTGCTGCGAAAGGGTCAAAAAAGGTGAAAAAAACTAGAAGATCTATTTTATTGAAAACTTGATACTTTTGTTGATTGTATTCTACCAACACCCCAAAAAATACTTTCCATACATTTATAGAGTTTTAAACATATTATTTACTATAGTATAATACAAGTATAAGATAAGTTATATATAATAGCAGCATTAGAAAACGGCTATATAATAATTATTTACAATGGTAGTCAACAAAACAGTTTTTCCCCTCTCTCAAGCAAAGGCAAATGTTACATTTGGCACAAAATATTTTTGAATATCCATCTTTGCAATGGCGACACCGACTACGACTATCCTTTGTGGGTTTTGGCCAATGTCCGAGTTGGTCGAAACGCGAGTCATTACATGGTGAAGGTGTGGTGGGTTTTCGGCCAACCTTTGCCACTCGTGATGGGTCTTGCACTGAACTCTTTCTCTTGGTGGGTCTGCCAGGCTTTCCATTGGAGGTTTCAACAGGAACTTGCTTGTTTGCATTTATCAACCCTTCTGCAATTTCATGGATGAAGTCGACCAAAGGCAATCTTCGCTTATTTGGGATTTCCAAGGTTTCACAGTGTCTGCGATACAATAGCCAGGCATTTACTTTTGCCATATCAACCAGATGCCAAAAGATCTTTATGTACCATCTCTTGGTCTTGGTGCAATTATTTATTTATTTATTTATTTTTTTATATATTTTTTTATTATTTTTTATTATTATTTTTTAATTATTCAAAGGGAGATTTTGTGGGCCTCCTTAACTGTCTTCAGAATGCTTCTTTAGTGGATTTAGTTCGCAATAACTGTGATGACATTAATGTTGCTTGGTCCAAGTGGAAAGCTGCTTTCCTTACTGCTGCCGATAGTTTTATTCCGAAAACATCGCTCAAGCGTTCCTTCACGCCTCCTTATATCACCAAGGATCTACTTCACGCCATCAACATGAAGGGGTCCCTAAGGAGAAAAGCAAAGGCTAAGAACTCACCTCAATTGTGGGAGAAATTTCGCAAGACTCGGCAACACGTCAAATGTTGGATTAATGCCAAGAAGAGAGAATACTTATCTGGACTTTCCCAATACTTATACAACTTGGAGATTTTTTAAGTCTAAATCTTCAAAATCTTCCATACCTGATGTAATTAAGATAAGGGGTCTTAAACTATTCTCTTCTGAAGAAAAGGCTGATGCTTTTAATACTTATTTTGCGTCAGGTTTTACCTCCGACTCAAATTCTTCTTTACCTTTAATTTCTCCTTCGCAGTCATCATCAAACTTTCTTGACTCAATAACTGTTTCTGTATTTGAAGTTCAATCTTTGTTGTCCAGTTTGTCATCCTCTAAGGCTACTGGGCCTGATGGCATACCAGCATATCTTTTAAAGCGCTATTCCGAAGTCATCGCTCCGTCTTTATCAGTTCTCTTCGAGTTATCTTTTCAGCAGGGTGTATTTCCTTCTGAATGGAAATCTGCTAATGTGCAATTGGTTCCAATACCTAAGAAAGGTGACGCTCATGAAGTCAACAACTACAGACCTGTTTCATTGCTCTCCCAAGTCTCAAAAGTACTTGGACGCTTGATTCTTAGACAGGTTTCTTATTTCATTAAGGACTCTTTGTATGACATTCAACATGGCTTTCGCTGCAATAGGTCATGTGTTACTCAACTTTTGAATGTGTTTCACGATCTCGGTCGTGCTCTTGATTCTGGCAATGAAATTGATCTCCTTTATCTTGATTTTGCTAAAGCTTTTGACTCCGTATCTCACAGCAAACTCTTGTTTAAACTAAAATCTTTTGGAATTTCCAGTCAACTTCTTAACTGGTTCGCTGATTATCTCCATAATCGGAAACAGCGTGTCGTTATCGAAGGAGTTTAACAGAATGCGCACTTGGAAAACCTACTGCTCTAAATGCCGTTCTTTCAACTTAAGCTGTTGCTCATAATCTGGACTATTAATTTGTATATAGTAATGTAAATAGTGTTCTTGTCCTTGTCTTTAATGTATGTCTACTTATTGTATTGTATCAGGTTGGTCTTCACATTATTATTATTACAATATTGCCTGCTCCCAAAAGGGCTTTTCAGCAGGTAATTACAAATCATTTATATGCTACAAACAATATATATATACACCCACAAACATACATACATACATACAAACACAAATTAAAATTTATAATTATTAGTAATGTCACTATTAATAAAATCCATACGGTAAAAACGTTTATATGCTAATTTAAACAAGCCCAAATTGTCTAAAACTATTAACTACTTTCTAAAAATCCATGCAATCAATGACATTTATATTCTAGTTTAAACCGGTCCAAAGTGTCAATGTCTTTAAAATAATTTGGGAGTTCATTCCAAATAGAGACTGCGCGATAATGAAACGTTCGCTGTCCATGAGAAGCCGAATTATACAGTGGAATGTCTAACTTATCCTTATTTCTGGTGTTAACACTGTGAGTCTTTGATCTCATTTCGAATTTGTCACACAAGTATGACGGAGCTAACCCTTTCATGCACTTAAATGTCATAACCGCATCCCTGAGTTTTAACATACACTCAACTGGAAGCCAAGCTAACTGCTGAAGAATAGGCGTCACATGGTCATATTTTCTAATTCCAGTAATAACGCGTGCCGGCCGCGAAGTTTTGCACGCTTTGGAGTTTTGATATGTTCTTTTTCGAGGTGTTCGACCAAACAGAGGAGCAGTAATACATTTTACTGAAGACCAATGCATTTATAATAAGGGATAAAGTGTGTTTGTCCAAAATATGCTTGACTCTGTTGATTTGGCATAATTCTGTGATACATTTTGAGACGGTATCGACAATATGTTTGTCGTAAGTCAAACTTGAATCCAAAGTCATTCCCAAATCTTTAACAGTCTGAAGTGGGATTATTTTCTCACCAAGAACAGTTATATGGAAATCTGTGCCAGAGAGTTTTTTCAGCATTTGACTTGTACCCAGTAATAGAAGTTTCGTTTTCTTTGGATTCACTAGCAGACTATTTATACAACACCATGTGGTAATTCTTTCCATATCTTGTGTAAGTTTAAACGCAGTAGTTTCAATAACCTGAATTGGAAATGCCAGATAGATTTTAGAATCATCCACATAAGATTCCAAAGAGGACTCTTTTCGAACATTGGGCAGGTCATTAATATATATGTTAAATAATGCCTGCCCAAGAATAGATCTTGAGGTACCCCTCGAGTTGTAATACATGTTTCCGACAATGTTGACCCAATACGTACTATTTGGCTTCGTCCCGATAGATAACTTTTATGCCATGCCAACACTGATTTAGACACACCAATGGTTTGAAGTTTCACTAATAGAATTGAATGATTTATACTATCAAATGCTTTGGATAAGTCTATTAAAACTAAGGCCGCAACTTCTTTACGATCCATAGACTGCAAGATTTGATCTGTTATAAAAATAATGTTTAATATTTCTGTAGAATGTAATTTTCGATTGCCACTTTGGTGTTCAGTATATCTTTTCCTTTGCGAGATATATTTTCCTTTGCGACTCATGTCCTGTTGACCATACCTTCCAATCATTGTTATAATTTTTTGTATGATTGTAAAGTTAGTAAATAAATAAATAAATAAATATTTATTACAAACTTTTTTTCACGGTAGAACAGCCACTAAGTCATGAAACTGCAGGCTTATTTCCAGTTAAAATCGAAGAAAGAAAAGTTTTGTACTTTTGTAAACTTTTTAACGAAATTTAAAACAAAAAAATGCTGTAAAACAGCAAAATAGGTCTTTTCAAAATGAAAAACATTTACTTTAATAGACATTCGCATAACGTCGAAAACCGTCCATGACATAAACAAAATGGAGGACAACCTCGCACTTCGCTATGTTTTCATATACCAGGGTATAATTACCCGTGCGGAATTAGAACACTCGCGCGGCGCTTCGCGCCGTCGGCTTCGGGATTAATCCTCGAAAAATACACCAGTCAGTATAAAATTTAATTAGTACATGTTTCCAATACACTAGAGTTATATACTTCTTGGAATGGTAGAGAATCATGTATTGTATTGCCTGTAGAATATGTAATTTAAGAATACACTCTTAGTTTATGTGTGCAGTGTTAACCATTTATTTTGCGGGAAACGTGTATTATAAAACTAGTTCTCGTTCAGATCAAAACAGAAACTGGACAAGACAGGAGAACGGCCAATGTTTAGTACTACAGGGTGTCTCAAAGAAAAGAACCTTTGAGAAATTCACTTCGTTGTTATAATTTGAATGTCTGAGTACTATGCTGAACCCATGACAGCATGAACACAATTGAATCGAATTTTATGAATGAATAAACTGTTAAGTAGAAACTTTAATTTG